CATACAGCCTTTGCTTCTCCAGATTGAGAAGTCACAGCTGCGATGGCTTGGGCATGTGTTGCGTTTGCGTCCAGAAAGGAAGACTATGCAACTGTTTCTTGCGAATCGGACGGGCAGAAGATCCAGTGGGCGGCCAAGATTGGCCTCGTTCAAATATATGGAAGCGTCTGTTCCAGACTCCAGTTGTCTTTTGCCGAGGGTCAGACTGTGGTACTGGATCGGGAGCGTTAGACGCTCTGTGTGACGCCTCTGCCTCCGAGACCCGAAAGGTGAAACGGCGATGGAAGATGAAGATAATGAAGTATTCCTGACGTAGTAGTGGTAATATTCGGTATAAAGTGAAGCAGACTGTTGATGTGAATGTAGCGACGCAAATTAACCTCAAGACATAACGAAACTTTTAAAAGTTAATTCTCCTAGTCACTCTGTTCGAAGATATTCTTTTTCATGTGTTTTCACGTGTTTTGCTCTTTGGGTGCAATGGCAATAGCGGTAAGATATAAGTTTGGAACTGAGGTGAGAAAAGGCTAGTTTATAACCCTTGAGATATCGCTCTCCTTTCGAATTTGTTTCTATTATTGGAATATCGCTTCTTTTGACAGTAGTATTGATTAACATTGCATAAAGCTGGCACTAGGCACTACCACAAATCTCGGGATAAAGTCTAAGGTAAGGTATATGCTGGAACCTAGAAAACGCTTTTCAACCTGCAGTTAGCAAAGCACCGACAAAGAACACCTGCTTGAATTAAATTTGCACTTTCCAAGCGAAACTTTGAGTCAAAATCTGAGAAACATTTTTCTATCAGCTACAGACATAGGTGCTTTCAGATAGATGCTTTGTCGATGGAGAATATCTACATAACAGATGTTGCAGATCTTTTGTTATGGTAATGACTATGCTGTGGCTGATTCTGTTTAAGATTGTTTGTCGCGCTATTCCGCCAGAGTTACAGATTCCCTGAATTAGTGGCAAGGAATGTGATTGAGATTAAGTTGCCACTTCGTTGGATGCTGTACGGAAACTATGATCGAATAGGTTGTAATAAGTTTCCAATTCAGCGGTAGCGCATACTCGTGCATTCTCATTTTCAGCTGAGCATCTGAAAGAGTTATTGTTAGCGAGGACTACAGCAGCATAGAGCGAAGAGACAGTCATGAGTTCGTTTCACTTAACATGATTGAAAGCTAATTCTCCTCGATAAAAATATTTTTCATTCGCTGCGGCTTTGGCTATGATTGGTTTAGTCGATATGGTGATTCTAATTGCATTTGATGTCGATCACTTCATTTTATGCTGCATATTCGAACACCAGGTCTGTCACTAGCGATAGCCAGTTTTCCTTCTGCCTTCCAAATTCGTAAATCGTTGACCCAGAGATATTTTTAAAGCCAAATCTTGCTATATCTTTCCAGGTCCTGATTTCGAAACTCTTCCATGGACGTCACCCAGGACAGGAAACTGCGTGCGGTGTTTTATATGTAGTTTCTTCAACTTGATTGTTGAAGGACACCTTCAAATCAAACCTTGTGATTTTGCAACGTCGCAACGACTGCGGACAGGTGAGTTCACATCACATCGAGGTAATTTACTCACAAGGTTCTCACTCACTGTATAGATGAACAAACAGTTGCATATTTCTAGCTTCCTGGTGTTTTCCACATATAGCTATAACAGGCAAACAGTCAGAGCCATGCAATAACATTCATCTTGTTGTGACATTCAAGACGCGCACTTTTTTTCAAACGCTGATTTACTGATACCCGCAAAGAAGTTAACGTAGTTGGAAAAGTACCCATCTCGTTGCTGAGATTTTGCGCGGCAGTTTTATCTTTCAGCTCATCATTGAGCAACGAAACATAGCCTTGATACTTGAAGGAGCCAAATTCTTTGGTGGTAGTTGCATGCAAAACAAATTTGTTGTTTATCGCCCTCTCATATGCGTAAAGGGAATGTCTTCATCATTAGAATTGACATGCAGTCAATTTGACAATATTATTTCATTTACAAAAGTTGGCCCAATTGCTGGTCATCGGAAGTAGCACTCTTGCGGATAAATAAACGACCTTTCAGTATTATAGTTTGCTGCGATATTGCAGGTCCTTGGAGTGTGCCGAATTTGCAGTCGCGGATAAGCAGCAATGAGACTGACAAGAGAGAGCTAGATGCGATTGGATCCCTCTACCTGCGAAAAGAAGACAGGTCATTAGACAGCGTCGTGGCGTGGCGAGCTTGTGCCACCAATAGAAAAGGCCATCATTGCCTGTTGACTTGTCAGCTACGCCTTTTTGATAAATGGTTAACCCAGGTGGTTGTGGGGACCCACACGCATTCAAAATTTTCAAGAAATTCGCACTAAAATGAATAAAACTATGGCCATATGAGACTCATGGCTGTCCTTATTGTTTCTTGTGATCCTCAAAATTTGAGCAATTTTCAATGGCAAAATGGCTCAATTTCTTTAATACTCGCTGCATTCGTTACTTTCCAATACTTTCAATAAGGAAGCGGTTATGATATCGTAAGAAAAACAATTTCATATTGCACGTAGATCTGCCTCTATCTTGTCTATTATTATTTCGCGCTAGGCTTTCGAGAGTCATCCGCCATGCCTTTTAGTCTTTTCAGGAGGTGCTTGCGGGCCGGAACTGGGTTCATGCATAAGTATTTTTCATGCATGCACTCCTAGTCTATCAAAGGAAAGTTGGATCATCGTACTGCACGGCGCGTCGGTATAAACTCGATATACTGCCGGCCAGAGAAGCGCTTTTCCCAGGGAAGAGACGTTTTACCTACGGAAAGACTGCGGTTTAGGTGGTCAGACGCAAGTAGAGCAAGCGTGCCAGACTGGACATTTTTCTGTCCCTTATGGTATGCTACGGGGTCATTTTATTGGAACGGGTGTCGGAGAGTCATGGTCTGTTGCATGAATTCAAACAGGCGACGTTGAACGTCACTGTCGACTATGCTGCCACAAATGTGTCGAGAGAGCGAAAAAGACGCTTTCCTTGACTGCTTGCTGTCGGCTGTTCGCGTTTTGTTGCGTCACGGTGTCACAACTGTCATAGGCAACCTCAACGCGAAGGTGGGTTCAGAGAATAGCACATGGCCAAGCGTACTCGGCCGTTACGGTATTGACAGCGTGAACGACAATGGCATTAACAGCGTCTGTTTAGTTATCGAGCAATAACAGCTTACTTCTCAGAGGGACCAGTTTTCCTCATAAGCGTATTCACTTGGACGTCCCCCGATGGAAGCCTAAACACCTAGCTAGACCACGCCCTCATCAACTGCAAATCGCGCAGCTCGTTAGTCGAGAGCCGTGCAGGCGCTGAGTTTGCATTGGGTCTGATAACAGCACGGTGATAGCGTTGTTGCCGTGTCGCATTGCCTTCGTCTGGATTAAACAGATCAGCTGCCTCAACTGAGAGTCAAAATGTGACGAAGCGTCGAGGTCAGCCTACAAAAGTGAGATAGAGAGATAATTTAAAGCCACTCTTAATGCCCAGTCGTGAGGTGACAACGTCAATCAAACTTAAAAAGACTTCAAAGAATCCATCATTTCCGCAGCGAAAAGGTAATTAGGACCAAGAAGAGAATAGCGAAACCACCGTGAGTTACAGAAAAATCCCTAGCTCGTAAAGAGCAAAGAAATCAGGAAAAGAAGAAGTACTTGCAACACCGTACTGCGCTTTCAAAGAGAGTCCATCACGTTTTCGTTCGTGAAGTCCATCAGAATTACAGGTTTGGCAGGGAACTTTGCGGGAGGGAGAAATCAAGAAGATTGACTAGGCAGCCAAAAGGAGTAAATGGTGAACGATGCTTAAAAGGGTGCGACAGTTGCCCAGTAAATAAGGTATCCGGGCTAATTTTATCCAAGACGTTAAGGTGCCCCATTGGCTGGTCAGAAGGAATGCCTATAAAGATGGGATGAGCTGCGCAACGGCTGTTCTTCCAGATTCATTATTTCCAACCGTTAATTGCCTGCTAGCACTAGAGTTAGTGCAGATCTACGCACAAAACTGGAAATTAGAAAAGCCTTGCTATGCCTGAAAGTGATGTAGACTTACGAGTTGGATCGAATTCTTTCACAGAAAATTAAAGTATGAAGGAACGGGTAAGGTAGAAAAGCGTGGAAAGCTTTCATCAGATGTGGAATTCCAAACGTTTCTCTATGGTTCGGGCGATGGAGCATTCCAATTATA